TCGAGTCCCCAGCCCGGGGGGGATTTAACAGCCGGGCAGAGGCGGTGCTGAGGGCCAGGGTTTGGGGGTGGGATGGCAGGGGTAGGGGAGTGGTTGGGCTGGGGGAGCTTAAAGGTCTATGATAAAGGGAATAACTTGTAACTGAAAACAATTCTGGACAAATTCTGGTGGCCTTTGCACAGAAGACTATTGCCTCTAACGCTCAAGCATTCGTAAGTCACGTGCAAGGGCTCTTGATGGCAAACTTCACTGCTTAAAAAGTCCGCTTGGCAAATGTACCATCAGTGAGCATAAACTGTGCAGGATCCCTAGGCATGGAGCATATCTCCGTAGTGCAAGGCAGCCTGCAAACGGATCAAAAGACAAATCTAACTCTGTAGGATGAGACGATATGAAGTGGTCTCACCATGCCAGCATCTGAAAGTCATCAGATTTACCTTTTCTTTAGAGGTCATGGCAAAGGAAGGTCGTAAAGCAGTTTGGAGGAGCATTGTGAGGTGGCTTTGTGGCTCTTTCCCGGGAGGTGCTCTCTGATGCGTGATGTGGGAGAAAGTGTGGAAGTGGCTATTTGAAAATGTCACCAGAAGATGGTGAAAGTTGGGTTTTGGGCTGAAGGAGGGAAGGTGAAGGACAGGCTGGAAAAAAAAAACCCAACTAAAACCGAGGACAAGCAGCTTCTGTGACATGAAATAGAAGAGAACAAGGAAGAATAAGGGTGTCAGGGCAACCCACCCATGGCCTGCCCCACCAACCTGTCCAGCAATGGTCTGGCTAGGCAGTAGAGGTTGCTGCTTGCAAGAGAGACATTGGGATATTGCTGTAGAAAATCTGCCTGCCCTCGAGAAACTTGTGTGGACACGAGTGTCTGTGTACATCATCAGACCGGGCAGTCAGGCTTTGCTTGGACCCGAGACCAGAATGGGTTTCGCAGTAAAATCTGGCCTGATTATTATTTTTTTTTTCCGACTTGGGACTCCTTTTATTGTTCTGCAACAGTGGGCTTTAGTGCTTTTTAACTTCCAGATTCTCTTAACGATTTTCAGTCTTGTTTAGTATATGTAAGCCTACTGAGAAGGCTTTACTTGTTCCTTGTCAGTGAAAAATCACTCAGTTTGAAAGTCGCTCGGTTAAAGTAAGGCGATGGAACTGAACAGGGGTAATATTACTTGAGCTGAACCATTAAAAGGTTATGCTAAGCGTTAAAATAGCCATTAAAAAGCTTCCGTATCTAAGAGGCTTAAAGGGACATTGTGGAAAAAGAAAGGGAGAATGGAAAAAGGTTACAACCGTTATGGGGAGGAATGGAAGGAGCAAGGTGGGGTGTTTGGGAGTGAGGTCACAGGGAAAAGATGGCTTTCTTTGGAAACCTGATATTGGCAGACATTACAGGTTTTGGCATACGGAATGGTCCTTCCTTGAGCCCAACGGTAAGGGGCTGTTCTCTCCCCTAGTCAACAGGAGCGTGAAGTGGAGGCCAGATTACGACGGAGATACGCTCTGGTAGACAAAAATGACTTTGCTGCTGTTGCTGCTGTTCAGAAGGTAACGCCTGTGGCTTGAGCCCTGCCCAGAGCCCATCCTGGAATTGGCTCCTTTCCTGCCAAATCTTGAATTGCCTCACGTTCTCAACTTTTCCCCATTGACATCCCAAGCTTGCAAATGTTGGGCGGGTCAAAAAACTTGCACGGAGCAGAGCTGCACCAGTTAACGTTTGTATCAGCAGAGGATTAGGCCCGTTATCTGAACAGAATCATTTAGTAAATGTGAATGAAAAATATATTAACTAGGAGGTGACCTCCCCATCAGTCAGTTGTAGAAGGCAGGATCCGATCACCTGCCTCTGCTGAGGTCCCCCTTTTAATCCTTATAATTTCTGGAGCAAAATAAATGTATCATTTGCAAGCCATAAATTCAGATGTGGACTCTAACTTAAGAGTTTATAATCTATTTTTCAGTACTTATTTCCCTCTGTGAAATTTTTTCTCTCTGAAGTGGTTATTTCCTCACCTTGGTTTTACCCAGCAGATAAAATAATCATTATCTGTTAGGCAGAGTCATATACTCATCCTGTGGCTTAACTGAAGATGCTTTGAATTTTTTGGAAGACAGGCACAAGGGAAAATGCAAATTATTGGTGTGACTCACAGAAGCACAGGGTCTCTAACGGGCCTATTCAAGTCTTTATTTAAAGAAGTGGAAAAGAAAAACTGAAACCTGATATAGGTAGATTTTAGTGCTTAATGGCCCCTCTGTTTTATAGCAATGTGAGGGATGATGTAAGAAACATAATTCTCGTAGGTATCTTCACGAAACGAAGACTTCTGAGGGCGCTTTTATTTCTGTGATACTAAACCTGTAATTCTCCCCCTACGTGGCTGAAACATTTGGCATATGAATTGGAGGATAATTTTGGCCCTCTTTTGGTTTACACTTCATTCTTATAGATGTGTTTCTCTGAAATGCTTGGTAGTGGATACAGGTTTCTGGATTAGATTGTACAACAGGATGGAACAGCTGCTGGGCGAGGGCTGTATAGCTTTTGTGGTCTAGACAGCTACAGATCTAATGGTCCATGTTTTATTTCTTCCTGTTTCCAGGCAAGTGTGGTTGATGCGGATGGCCATTTGGGGCAGGAAGAGGATGGACGGGATGTGGGGACTAGAACTGCTCCTTTTTCATCCAGACGTGGTAGGAAGAAGAAATCCAGGAAAAGCAATGAGCAGCCCAAGTGAGTTCAGTAGCCAGGCAGCTTTCCCTTTTCTCTGATCATGTGTCATTGCAGTGGCTGGATCTGGTCAAGGCGTGATGGGCAGCCCACGGAGGAAGGCAGAGATGAAACTGGCTTAACCGGTGTTTGGAAGTTTTGGGTTTCCTCAAGGATGACATTCCAGGATAGTGCTGTAAGAGGCCGCCCCCCAGCCACACCATCAGGAGGATGTGGGGGGAATGCGTGTGGCCGGCAGGCACAGCCTCAGGTAGGGCAGACCCCTATTATGGGGAAGATTTACTGCAAATGGTTCATCCGTGTGTCTGTTACGGATGCACCAAGACTACGGAGCGCTCTGCGGGGTGTGAACTGTGGACACAGAGGGGTTGTGGAATCTCCTTCTCTGGAGATATTCAAACCCCACCTGGACGATGTCCTGTGCCCCCTGCTCTGGGTGAGCCTGCTTGAGCAGGGCGGTTGGGCTGGATGATCTCTGGAGGGCCCTGCCAGCCCCTGCCAGTCTGGGATTCTGTGATTGTGTGACACAGAGGGTGGACAGGCTTGGGGTTGAAGAGCTTCCAGCCAGTGCAGAGAGGGTTACCCAGTGATGGGAGCTGGGGAGTTGAACATGCAGGCAGGGGAACAGTCCTGTGATGGCATCAGAAGACATGTTAAACCTGCAGTTTTTCTTTAAAGTGTTAGGTAGAAGGAGATCTGCTAAGTGGAAAGGGAGGGAGGGACAGTGGGTGGAGGAGCAGATCAGGAGAAGAGATTTTGAGAGGGAAGGGGGAATCAGCAGTCAGTACTGAGCAGAGAAAGATCCTTCAATTTACAGAAGTGAGGTTGCTGCATAGGCAGGTTCTATGACTCCTGCTGTGGCTGAGAGCATCTGCTTGGTCCTTGCATTAGAGAGGAACCACCAAGGCTTTGGTATCCACATGACACGGGGGATTCCTCCATGGAGTTCATTTTTTAGGGAGATGGAAGGAGATTTGGCAAGCACTTTTGTATATCTCTTTCAAGTCACGCTGTCCCCTGCAGACAAGACTGCTGGTGTTTGTGGAGGTGAGCTGAGGGAGAAGAACAGAGAGCTGGGCTTGATTTAGACGTGGGGTTAAATCGAATCCTAGGGGATTGAGTTTGTAGGTTCCTCTGAAGGTAAAGAGGGTTATCCTGTCTGCAGGTATGCCTCAACCCAGACAGGACTCTTGTCCTTGTGATCCTTCTCAAGAGAGATGATCCAGCCTGGGCTACGTCCTATAGTAGTTGCTACACAAGGCAGTCCCTCTACTCTAGGAAGTCAGGATTTGTGAGAACAAGGCTGATCTTATCCCTTGTCAGTAGATATTTCACGGCAGCATCACACTGCTAGTTTTTGAATCAGCGAAGCTAGCACCTGCAGCACGTTTTGGTTCCAGTTTCCTATTATGAAGAAATTACTCTGGTTCCTCTTTTTCCCCCTGTCAGGAAGGAAGGAATGCGGAGCTCTTTTTCTGGGAGAGATCTGGGTGGTTTTTTACCATCAAAAACTCAGATAATAACTTCCACCAAGGATCTGGATGTGAAAGAGGGAGCAAGGAACCAGGATACGGCAAATATTGATGCAGAGCTCTCAAAGCCAGCTCCTGTGGAGGATTCCCAGCGGCCCAGGTAAGCTTTCCCTGTAAGGGAGTCTGTCCACTTTGCCAGAGGGTGGTTTACACCCAGGTGACTGCGTCGTGTTCCTCCAGTCCAACTACCTGCTTCAAGGTGAAGAGGAGAGATTCAGCAATCTTCATTGCTTGGATGCAGAAATGCATTGTAGGACAGCAGGGCTTGTGTGGACACCCTACGTACCAAAGTGTGTTGGTGGTGGTCATCTCCTCCATCTGCTTTGAGCTCTGTCCTGATCGGTTGCTCTGTTAAGTGTGAAGTCTCTGAAAATCGCAGTGCTCTTCACCCTTTGGTTAGTAGTAAAAGCCCAGAGAGACCTCATGTCCAGCCACAAATGGCACTGGGGAGGCCGCCCCTCAACTGCTGGGGTCAGGGTTGGGCCCCTCCCTCCCCGAAGGACCTGGGGGGGCTGGAGCGTGTCCAGAGAAGGGCAGCGGAGCTGGGGAGGGGTCTGGAGCCCCAGGCTGCTGGGGAGCGGCTGGGGGAGCTGGGGGGGTTCAGCCTGGAGCAGAGGAGGCTGAGGGGAGCCCTCATCGCTGCCTACAACTGCCTGAGAGGAGGGGGGAGCCGGGGGGGTCGGGCTCTGCTCCCAGGGAAGGGGCGATGGGACGAGGGGAGAGTTTAGTGGTAGGATGGCAGGGGTAGGGGAATGGTTGGGCTGGGGGAGCTGAAAGGGCTTTTCCAACCTGAACGATTCTATGATTCGATTCTATGATTCTAAAACCCCCCGCGCTCGTGAAAATGTGTCAGTAGCTGCACAAGATCATGGCAGGAGGTGCCATATCAAGACAGAAGAGTGGAGAATGTTCAAAACTGCAGCAATGTGCCAGTCACCTGCTAGTATCATGAGAAGAATTTAACATGGGAGGGCGGCACTGAATTGCCTTTCATTTTGGGTGGAGTTGATGGGGTAAAAAAATGCTAAGGCTACCAAGACCAAGGACTCTTTCTAGGAGGATGCGCTTAACAGTATGAAGCTGCTCAGCTCACAGGAGCTCAGCCAGGACCCCCCACAAACCGGCCTGGACACCACTTCTCCCATCACCAGCCACCTTTTCTTGCTGAGAGCTCTCAAGCCACAAGCAGCGCAGCTCTGGAGTATTGCGAGCACCTCCATTGCCTGTCTCGTAGATGAACCCGGTCCTTGCTTGTTCCTGCCTCCCGGGGAGAGCATCCCGGTGAAGCTGTTCCAGGATAATTTACTCCTGAAGCACCTTAACATGTTCTTGTGTTCCTCCATGCCCTCTCCAGGCATTTTATTCTTCTAGAAGTCGCGTGGCTGGCAGGGAAGGTGGCTGCTGCAGCTGCATGAGGCACAACCCAGAGCGCTTCGTGGCTCGGTAGCTGGCTGTCAAAGCTGTAGCTGTGGCAGTCTGCCCAGGGGCCGTCGTTACAGCACTTTGCCAACAGTTTGGCATGGAAAGGAGTCTCACGCAGCCTTGGAGGAGTTTGAAAAATGCCCTTAAGCGGTCAGTCAGGGGAAGGCAGTAGGCAGAGTCTTACTTTGACCAGGAATGTGGAGACTTCTAGCGACTTTCTCCTGCCAGACCCAGCCTGCTCACCAAGAACACCCTTACGCAGCGCAGAGCAGCGTCGGTGGGCGCGTGATGTTCTCCCGAGGGACTCTCCTTTTGCCCAGTGTGGTTTGTGGTGAAGTAAGAGCTGCTGTTCATGGGGGCACGTTTGCATCAAAGCCGTGTCATAGAGAAGCCAGGATTGGCACACGCCACTTTGAATTTAGTCTTTCTAAGTAGGCAAGACTTCAAAGCCACGGGCGGCTGCGTTGTAGAGCCAGCCAATGCATGCAGCTGTGGAGTTTGGTCAGTGGAGGTGACTGGTCTGTGCTGGGAATCCAGCGAGGAAATAGCGAAGGCATTTCTGTTTAACAATAGGGAGGAAGAGTATTCATTATTTTTCTGAAAATTCAGACCATTAAAGGTCCACTTTCCAGGGCAAGACTCAATTCTGCGGCATCTCCCGAGGATTGTGGTTTCTAAGTAAATAACTCTTTCTTTTGGGAGTAGTACGGGGAAAGGGGATATGAAGGCTGGCACAGACAGTACCAGCGTGCAGCTAGCAGAGCGAGGTCCTCAAAGAGCCCCTTGAAATACCATCCACAAACCTCCG